TGGGTGCCATTCAGACTGCACAGGACCGTCCTAGCACCATTCATTCCACTAGAGCCGATGTTCACAGCTTAGCCTTTGCCCCTTCTTTTCCTGCTGCATTTGATCAAGATGCTCATTTTAATTCCTACCTACGGTAGATATTATCCAAGTAACAAGCCTGTATTGAATTTGAAATGGAAACTTGATACAACCTGCTTGATACTTTAAGTCTTTAAGTGGCTAAAATACATTTAGCGGCTGAAAGGCAGGTTCCGGGCCAGGGGTGCATTCCTGAGTCAATGCTACGGAGGACATCGTGGTAAGAATGTTAACTCTCAGTGAGGTAGACATTAAACAGCTCTGCTCCCCTTTGGAATCTCCTAAATGCTTGGAAACCTATACTTATCATTTCTCTTTTTTAAGTTAATTACTGCCGACCAGAACCTGGCCATCGCTTCAATGCAGCCTGGCTGCCGGCAGCCACTGAGGTGGCGGGGGGGCCGTACCGGTTTTCTGCACCTGCAGCTCCCTCTTGGCTTGCTCCAGGATGGACTTGATTGCTTCGTCAGAGCCAGTCTCCGAGGCTCGGATCCGGGTGGTGATGTTACCTGCAGGGAGAAGGCGCACCATTGACATCAAACCCGCACCTTGAATAAAATGCAGTGCTGCACGAAGACAGATTGTGACAGAGAGCCCACGGGGAGGCTAGTGACGGCAAGGAGGTGGGCGTGGCCTCCCAGTGACCTTTGCTGGCTGGGACCGTGACACTGCAGGACAGGCTTCCTGCTTCATCTACCTTACAGTCAACACTAGTCTCCCAGTGTGAGCTCTCCCGTGACCTGAGCTGGACCCCACCCATGGGTTAGTATCAGGGAGAACGCATCATTTCATCCCGTACAAAGAAAAGATGAGAAATCAAAAGGTAAGGCTTTTTCATGAGTCATTTAAAAACTACACCAACTCCTCTGGCTTGGGCCTATATTCAGACTCTGAATATTTGTTTGAGGCTGGCGTCCCAAACAGGGAAAGTGGGATAGGAGAGAAAAAGGTTGAGGCTGACTGTGAACATCGATAAGAGAAAGAGGCAAATGCTTTCACTGAGAATGTCCTGAGCTGTCATCACACTGTCTCTCTCTCTTTTTTGAAATTTGGGAACAAGGAGAAAAGCCTGCAGAAATGCCTGAAGGACAAGGGTTCGTCTTTTCAGTCACACGGGACGCTCTGCACAGTAGCTGCGTGTACAGACACACTAAGCCACTGCAGCCCAGGGGCTGGCCCCAGTGATTCCTGGACGCAGCCCAGACGTTTGTATTTTTCACTGCCTTACTAAATAGGAACGGCCACGTGAAACCATCTGAAAACAAGTACACCGCCGGGACTTAGCCCATTAAGACGCAGCTCCAAAGAGAGCAGTGGGGATTGGCTCGCCAGGGTCCATGGGAAACTGGTTACATTTGGAATCTGTCTACTCTGGAGGACTTCAGTAAATTTCAGACTTGAAAATACAGGAAGCAGCAGAATCTGGTGTAACCAAGTCACCTCATTTTTCTCGGGGCAACGATAGTTACTCTCTCACTTGCTTCTGAGGAAGCAGGAGGGTGTAATTTGAATCGTAAGGGTCGGGGTGCATCAGACTTGAGGGGCTGATTCTCAGTGATGCTGCCCCCTTCTCCCCTCCAGTGTGTGCCCGAAAACCCGGGACTGGCAGCTCTGGGGGAAGGGGGCCGGGAGTACCTAAGCCCGTGCTTTGTTTTATACTTACTAGCTCTGTTTTTCCATCAGGTTCCAGGCCAGAATCACACTGCACAGTTTTAAGCAAAAATACACAGCTAAGGACATGCTGCTTCCTAGGTTACTGACTGCAAAGGAAAACACCTGCCTGCAACATACCTTCAGACCCATTTCTTCGTTTCGGTACTTCCTGAAATAGTCTGTTCAGGCTCTGGCCTGGATTCTCTGTTGAAAAACAAGTGTGGTAAGAACAAAACAATCAGGGGAACGGTGGTGTTGACGATATGGGCTGTGACATGAAATCTGAGCCACCTGTCACTAAATGAAGGGTGCCAGGGCTCCTGGGCTTAGGGCTTCCTGGGCAACTTGGGAGGTTCTGGAAACTTCTGAGAGGCCCTTCCCTCACTGACTGACTGGGCAGCAGAGGCCGTGGCTCTACTGCTAGAGATCAGAGCAACCTAGGAAGCGACCTATGACGTCGATGCAAAGAGGGCTGGGGGGAGGGGGGGTGCCTGCAAGCAGATCAGCCCCCAGCCCCCAGCACCAAGCCCCACGTCAGTCACCTAGAGCTGCTCAAGGTCAGTTAACGTCACCCCACAAAGCACCGTGTTCTTTGTGCAAGCAGATGCTGCTCCAAACGCTGCCCTGTTATCCACGTTTGAGTCTTAACTTCAGGAGGTTTTAATCAAGCCTGTAACTCCTCTCTCTCTACCCCTGTGAATGAACAGATGAGCCCCTATTCTTAAGAGAGAAAAAAAAAAAAAAAAAAACCTCACTGCCGTCAAGTCGGACCCGACTCATAGCGACCCCTCCTTGGGTTTCTGAGGCAGTTATCACTACGGAAGTAGATTGCCCAACCTTCCTTCCAAGGAGTGGCTGGTGGGTTTGAACCGCCAGCCTTCTGGTTAGCAGTCAATGCCTTAGGTGCTATGCCACCAGAGCTCCCTCAAGAGGGAAGGATGTCTTTAAATTACGGATGTACAGGCTTTTCATCTTTTGATCGGGGGGCCGGTGGGAACGGTTTTCTAACGCCACTGTCACGGATTTTGCTTAAGGCCGGCGTATTTGTTCGTAACGTTGAACAAATCTGTGACAGAAAGGAGACGCTATGACCCAGCTGACCACAGGACACGCTCTCCTCTGTGGGCTGGGGAGAAGAAGGGAGGCGCTGTTGGCTACGGTCTGCCCACAGAGACCAGGTCTGGGAGGGGATGGTTCTGGTGGATGTTGTTGCTATGGGGCTGGGTGGTTCCCAAGGGCTCCTCCAATGTGAGGCCAGCACTGAGGGCCACTCTAACCACTGGACACTAAACCTACTGTGATGCTGACAATAATACAATTCCCTCCAACCCAGTGCTCGCTCCCTGAGTTTACAGGGGCCAGCTGCTGAGTGACACGGAAAAGCCAGATCTCCCAAACCTCTCAGCTTCACCTCGTGCCTGCTGACCCCCGAGCTCTGCAGGTGACAGCACTGAAAAGCACCCTGGACGTGATGTGGAAATGCTTCAGGGCACGCACAGACGGACGGACAGACAGACACACACACACGCCAACCTGGCGATGGGCTCACGCGTGTGCCGGCCCGCGGGAGTCGCTCACCTCTTTGTCTGCCTTGGATGCTCCGGAGAGCCAAGATGTTCTGCTCGTCGGAGAGGAACTGCTTCATCTTGTGAAAGGGCTCCTTGCCGCGCACGGTCAGTTTATTCCATGGCTTGGGCCGCGCCAGAATCTCGCTCACGGACCCTTGAGACAGTCCCAAGACGTAATGTCCAAAAATGCGCTGTCCGATATTGTGCTTGATCAACTGCTCTTTCACCTGCCGTGCAATCTCGGCCGTGTCTATCTCCTCGCCCTCAGACGCGCTCCCAGCACTTTCGGACTGGCTGGGAGACGGGGCCATGCCGTTTACGTCTGGGCTTTGTTGTAACGGACTTTGGGAAGATATGGAGTTTGTGCTGTATGGACCTGTTGGAAAAATCATGCTTGTGCTTCCTGCGTCCTGCATGGCCTTGGAGTAGAAGGACTGCATTAGCTGTCGCTGGAGGAGAGAGTTTAGTGCAAATTTTCCTGTAGAAGCCAGGGGTAGGCTGGGGCTTGCCAGGGATGAGCTGAAAAAGTCTTGACTTAACCCCGCTGGTGAGAACTGGTGTGTACCGTTAGTATTGGAAGCCTGCTCCCCCGTGTTGCGGGGCAACTGAGAAGGAGGGGAGGCCGGCAAAGGTCCAGGACGCCGACTCTCAGGCTGGTCTTTCCCTTTTCTCCTGGCTGACCCTACAAGGAAGGGCAAACATAATGCATTATGGGGGATTCAAAAGGGAAAAAAACCAAGACCAAGATGCAAAGTTTGCCCCACAAAAGGGAAAAAAAATGCAGATTTTACAAGGGCCAATGAGGTGTGTTGGTTTGTTTTTCAATTGAATTTTTAATCAGCCAAACGAGGCCCCCCAAAACAAGCGACATGCATTTCATGTTTGCGCCTTTCTTGTACGTTGCAGCCTGGAGAATCCCCTTGACATCGGTTCAAACTCCTACAAGTGGCAAGGAGCCGGTGACACACACGGTGCAGAGTTGACAGGTCGCAGGCCTCGCCGGGCCCCTAGCATTCCAGCTACTACCAGAGGGCCCCCTGAGGAGCAGCAAACACTGACATTTTGGAACCAACGGATTCTCTCACACCACTTGCTCTGAGGCGAATGCACTGTGACAAGTCCACTCGATCGAAGGCACGCGCATTTTAAGAGTGAAATCGCATCAAAGCCCGAGACACCTTTAAACGGTTTACCAGCTGCCAAAACCAGAAGCACAGTCAGTGACGCCACCATTTCGGGACGAGCAGAGAAAGCCTAAGGGTGGGGATGCATCCCCACGGAAACCCAACAAGGAAGGAAAGCTCCCCCGTGCCGGGAAGGGTGGGGGAGACACTGAAGCCGCCCTCAGAGACACCAGGAGAGGGGCTGCGTTCGCCTCTGCCCCCGCCAACTCGCAGCACACATGACTAGAGAGACCAGAAAGCCCCCATCCTCGGGGGTCCCTCTCGGGTGTCCCACGACACTTCTGCAACCTGCCCCTTCGGACGCACTGAGGCTCACCCGAGGCTCCCCGACTCCGGCGACCCAGGGTGTGGGGCGGGCGGAGGAGCAGCGAGCGGAGGGACGCACCGAGGCGCATTAGTGAGGGTCGCACGGCCGGTGAGGCTCCCGCCATGCAGCTGCCCAGCGCGCGGCTCACCTGCCTCTTCCTCGACCCTGCAAAGTGAGCCCAGCACCACATGCGCGGCCTCGTCAACCTACCGCTCAGGTCGCTGTTGGAGATGCGCAGCGCGGCGTTCTCAGACTGCAGCGAGCGGTTCTTCTCCAGCAGCAGCACCTCCAGGGGCTTGGACGCGTCCTAGAGGGGGCAGAGCAGGGCTCACGCTGGGCCGGCCACCCCATCCCCAGGGCCCAGCCCCAGGACCCCGGCTCTCCACCCACTCTCCCTCTGGCTCTGACGCCTGTTAGAGAAGCTGATCTCCCCTAACATACACGTGGGAAAAAAAATCAAAGTTCCTTTTAAAAGGAATTAATTTTAGTTAAAGTGTCTCCTTCTTCTTCTAGAACTCACGTAGCTTCTAGACAATTAATTATTCTCCATTCTGTGTCCACATTCAAGCAAAGACATTGCTGCCTCCCAGACTTCCATCAGGAGCAGCAGGTGTCGGCTCGATTTCTTCACTGTTCATTGGCTACCACAGGACCCCACACTACTGTCACCCTGTCCCCTGCTCCCTTGCCACGTGAGGCAGCCGATCACCGCAGCCAGTCCCTTTTAGGCTGGTCTTGAATGGAGCCCAAGCCTGCTTTTCACCCATACTCCTGGCGCCTGCCCCCATTACAGGACATCCCGAGCTCATCTGAACGGAGTTACCAGTTCACAAGGCAAGAATTTATTTGGGTCCCCTTTTGCCTTTGTTGAATTCAGGACAATTCCCTTCAACTTAGTTTAACATCCCTGGAGACTTCCTCATCGTCTGTGGGTCATTCTCCAGAGAGAGTGCACAGAAAGATTGAGACTGTGGGGTTGCCGACAAAGGTTGTGAGGGCCCTGTGGGGTGGGGGCGGATGGTGACTGGCCGTGGGGGTGTGCCAAGGCTAAGAGCAAAGTGTGACGGTGTACCTGTGTCCCAGCGCCCTCGGATGGTGCAAACTCCATGGATTTCAGGATACTGTGGAGAGCAAGACAGAGCCGTTATTTGCTCCTGATACCTCCAATGACAGCCATGCTAATAAGTGCTAATGCTACAATTTCCTGCTCTCCAGGAACCAAGTAACTGACAACTTGAACAAGTTCCCTGGCAGTGGCTTAATTTGATAATGTCTCTAGAATAACTGTTCAACAGCAGTTGGCTGCAAAGTTTCTTGCCCAGCACGTTAATCGTGCCACACGGAATCACACCCCAGGCTTCGGAGAATGATTTTAAAGTTTGCTGCAGACATGACACTGGCGGTGACAGTGCGTCTGTGAAGCTCAAAGGGAATGAAAAAGTTGTGCCCCGGAAGCGAGAGAGGAAATCGTGCCTTCTCGGGCCTCAGTGCCAGAGGTGTACTTGATGCCATGGCACCTGGGGCCGGGGAAACGCCCCACTGTTGGATGGTCCCAAAGTGTGGCAAGCTGCCTCTCTCTGCCGCCAAGCACAAAGGTGGCAAGAGAAGGGCTCTATCGTCACTGGCCTCTGTGAACTGCTCTACCAAGTCCACGTCACCACTGTAATCTTTCTTTGGCTGTGGCTGTTCCTTCTGTGTGAGGCTCTCAGGGAGGAGAGGGGAAGTGAACCTGTGTTGTTTTAAGGAGCTGAAACACTGCGAAGGGAAGAGAGGAGGAAAGTGAGGCCGCCCAGTCAGGTGTCCGGCCAGCCAGGGCCACCCAGGTAGCGAGTGCAGTGCCCCACCCTGCCCTGCCTTCTGGCAGCCATGGATCAGCTCATCCTCCTTTTAGCTCAGCTCATGTATCTTCAAGGGACCATGGTGTGCAAAACGGGGCTCACAGGCACAGGGGCCCAGGGCTTGGGGGGCTCTGTCTCTGCCCAGGCCGCTGACCTGCTATAACTCAGGATCTGTTCTGTGGTTACCTGCAGTCATGTTTGTGGTGACCCTCGTCGTGTAAAGCCACCGTGGTGAACTGTAACCTGCATATTACAGGGCCCTCCTGAAGGTCACTTAGGGGCTCTAGGTCACATGAGGCCAGATGGTGAGACGGGCAGCAGCCTGACCAAGTGGCCCTTTCTTGGTGGCCTCCACGTTGCTGGCTCTATGTCCTTGTCCTTTTGGATATTCTCTTTA